CCGGCTTCAGCGGCAGGAGCTGCCACGTCGCCCTCGTCAGCGTTAAAACCAACCTCCCCAGCAGGTCAGTGCCACCCCCAGGGACAGCACCCGTGATTTGCCAGCATTGATCTTTCCCAAGAGGTGGGGAGCAGCACCGTTACACCCATCAGTTTCCAGGTGCAGGTTTCTACAGAACACAAACACTTTTGACTGTTCATTTTTTCCACAAAGAAAATCAAAACCTTTTCTGGACAAATCCAGCTCTGTGTTATTCTGTGCAGTGCTCGTCTCTGGCGTCAGTCCTCATTGAAGTGCTGTGCCCCTGGGACAGCAGAGCTTTTTTAGGCACAGAAACCTTTAGCATTGTTTAAAGCCAGAGGGATGGGATTCCTGAGAAAAGGTTTATAAAGAAAAAAACCCATCTTTTTTTAGGCGTTAGGCGTATTTTGGCTTAATCCATACCAGGTAGGTTTCTTTAGCACTTTCTTGCCTTTTGATCTAGTAAATAATTACTGCTGTGTGCATAATGGCTGTGTTGGCTGACGTGTTGTCTCTGCCCAGCATGCTGCCCAAGGTCATGAGCAAGTTTCTGGACAGCACACTTCAGAAAGTGCTGCCAGGGCTGGTAAGTCCCATCCTCCTCCCATCCTTGTTTCCTGGAGATCATCTCCTCCTCCTCCTTGCTGTGCCCTAACAGGTTTCACGGTTTGGATGCACAAAGGACCTCGCAGGCTGGTAAAAGGGAGTGTTTTGAGCAATTACTGATTTTATGCAGCCAGCAGCCCCAGCGAAGGCACCGTCACTGCCTGAAGCTGCCTGGTCCCGGCGGTCAGGGATGCTCAGACAGGGCTGATCCCGGTGCTGAGCGTGTTTGTTCCTAAAGGCTGGTCAAGGGCAGACTTGCAGCCTCTTAACACGTATCACGAAGTTGGTTTGGTTTAGTCAGATATCTGCAGTGGAGTCTGGCCCTGTTCTTTGCTCAGTTTAAGGCAGGTTTACTCCAGAATAACCTAATTCAGCCAGGGACAGAGAAAACTGAGGCAATTTCTTGTCTGGGTAATTAATAGTGGAGGGTCCTGGTGCTTCAGGGTGGGAGCTGCACAAAACTCTGCTCCTGCCAGAAGACTCTGTCCGAGGTTTTCTCACACCTTTCTTCTTGCCCTGCAGCTGTGTCCAGCCGTGGATGTGGTGTTCAACCTCGTGAATGCAAAATTCACCACCATGACTTGTAAGCTGGTGTCCATCCATCCATCCACCCATCTCATCCATCTCCTTCCCTTCCCCTGGCAAGGGGACCTATCACCAAGGATAGACAATCTGCTGAGCCCCTGGCTAGGACCAGGGGGGGACAAACCCCAGTGGGGGTCAGACAAGTATCTACCCCCTCCTTGGTGCAGGTTTGGGACAGCCTGGCACCGCAGACGCTGGCAGGGAGACAGGAGCCCACTGAAGCCATAAATGGCACGTGGCACTGGTGAACCAGTGGTTTGGTACTGGTGAGCCAGTGGTTTGGTACTGGTGAGCACTCTCCCCATGGTGCAGAACATGCATCTTCTGGTTAACCATCCCTCTTCCCTTCCACACAGCCGAGATGCCGCTTGGGTCTGCTGGGACCCTCCAATACACTTTGCTGAACCCCCCACTGATGAATGAAACCTTCATAGAGCTGGATCTGAAGGTGAGCGCAGCTGCCTGGCACCGGGTCTCGAAGCGGTGAGGTTTCTGACATCCCTTTGCTTGAGGTGTTGCCCTTCTCAGCCTTGGGCAGCGGAGGCTATGCAGTTTATTGCTCTGTTTCACCACTGACACTACAGAGTGAAGCATCCAGGACCTTGTACCTGGTCCAAAAGCAAATCCTGGAAATGGACCTGTGTGCTCTGACCTGGCTTTTCTTACTGGTCCTTCTAGACCATTCTCCATCAAAAGGAGGGAAAGGAGGTTGACCTTCCCACAGATCAGCCATCTCTTGTGTCTCTGCCACCAAAGAGGGATGCTGTTACCCAGCTCATCCTGTCTGAAAACTTCTTGAGTGCTGAGCTCTCTGTTCTGCAGGCGTCCTTCAACCTGGAGATCAGCAATGACACGGTGGGTGATTTGGGCTTGAGATTTTCCTCAAGGGAACACTAAAGAAATCTGTGCTCAAGTTCAAGGCAGACCCATGTGCTGTCTACGCCTCTTCCCTTCCCAGTGTTGAACTCCCCCAAACATTGAGTGAGTGCATTAAGTCCTGTCCTGTGACACTTTCTCAACAGGTTCTTGAGCTTCCCCCATTGGAGACCACGATGCTTGGAGCCCTCATCCCTGAGGTGGGTGGACTTTGCTTGGTCCTTTGGGTCTGTGGGTCATCTCAGGCTACTTATGGCAGCAGATAAAGCTGTTCTCCTTTCATAGAGACATGCTGGGAACCTTTTCCCCAAGGTCAAACTGGTGCTTTCTTTAGTTTATTAGTAAAAATGTTATTAATAATATTATTTAAGGAATGTACATGGAGCAGTATGGACCAGCTTGACTGACTCCCACTGATTTGGTGAATGTCACCGATGCTCAGAACCCACCAGGATAATCCTCAGAGCAGTGAACTGGGAAGGAAAGGGGATGTCACCCCTTTGCTTTGACTCCCCACAGATTTCCAGGGTGCTGCCTCCATCACAGCCCCTGGTGATTGAAATGCGAGAGGCGAAAGCACCAGTGGTGACCATAACCCCGGAGAAAAGCTTTGTGCAGCTCTTCAGCACCGCCGAGTTTTGGGTTTCCTCTTCAGACTCTGCTCTGGAGTCCCTCTTCGTCCTGGATGTTGTGAGTTGAAGCCTTTTGCAGTTGGCGAGGGCTGAACATGGTCACCCCTGTCCTGAGCCAACAAACCCACACCAACCCCGGAGCAAGAGATGCGGGACTGTGGGCAGGGACGTCCGTCAGGAGGACGCATGGCGGGGGGGTGCTGTGGGGCTTGAGCTCTTGCAGGGACCAGGGTCTTGGCAGGGACTCAAATCTCCCTTTCCCTTTCCCCTTGCAGGACAGCAAGCTGGAGGTGCAGTTTGCCATTGCAGAAGAAAAGCTGCAGCTCTCCCTCACTCTGCAAAGGTAACGCAGCTGCTGGTCCCCGGTGCCACCAGCAGCAGTGACAGTCCCAGGGCTGCTGGAGGGGCCACCTGTGCATTTTCAGGAGGAACCTTTACTGTCTCTGTACGATTTTTTTATAGTTTATACTAACAGCTGCTTAAAAATAGGTGAGGGTCAAGGTGACACAATCCAGTGACCTAAAACCTCTTTGGGTTTTTTGCTCTTTAAGTTCAAAGAGTTGGTTCAGGATGAAAACGCTCTCGGGGGGAAGCAGCCCCTTCCTGGAGGGAGGCTGGCGGGGCTGCAGCTCCTCCAGTGCCGGGGGCGTTGCTGGGGGACAAACAGTGGGTGAGGAGCAAATGACACCCCACCTCTCCTCTCCCTGCAGTCTGTCTCGGGTGGCCTTGGCTTCCTCCTCCCTCGGGACGTTTGACGTGAGTTGGACGCTCTGCGCCGTGCGTGGGGCTGGGGCTGCTGCGGTGACTCTCGGTGCTGGTGGTTTGTGTAAGGGAACAGTCTCACTCGGGGCTGTTTCAATGGAAATTTAGGAATTTTTTTATATTCCCATTCTGCTCGGGGCACCTTTGGACTTTTCCTGTGACTGGGGCAGGGGCTGGGTGAATCGATGGGGTGAGCAGCTGCTGGCACAGGGCGATGGGCAGCTCATGGCACTTCTGTGCGTTTCAGGAGCTTCCGCTGAAAGGACTTTTGGCAGATGTTACTCGTGTGGCTTATGTGCCATCGATCAACAGTAAGCACGGCTACGGCGTCACCTGAGGAGTCACAATCTGCACGGGGAAAGTAGTTCTCATTTCCTATAGACTGTGTTCTCTTTAATTTTTTTGGAAATGGCATTGCCTGGATGACCCTGGATGACCTCGCGTGCTTTTCCTGCCCTCGAGGCTGTGAGTGACTCTGCCAGGAAAATCCCTTGCCAGTCGTTTGGCACCCGTGGGATTTGCAGTGGGAGCTGGAGCAGGGCAATGGCTCCCACTTGGTCGGGGCTCCGGCACACCAACTCCTTCACAGGCTGGAGAGATCTGCCTGTGCAGAACAGATCCCCTGCAAAGGCTCCAGGCTTCTCCTCTGAAGCCTCTTTGAATGTTGTTCCTGTCCTCAAAATCAAAAGCCCTTGTTGTGAACAGCCAGGAACAGTTTTCATAAGATCTTTGCCTTCCTAAAGTCCCCAAAATTGACATGTTCCTCTTTACCATGCCTGAAAACAGCCGAAGTGGCAGTAAAAATCCCCACCCCGGCACATCAATTTATCTGCTTTACTCATATGGAGAGTATGTCAAAAGCAGAGATTTTATTGAGGCTAAAATGCACAAAACCAGGAATTCCCACCTGATTTTCCTTCTGAGTATTGGGTGGGCACGGGTGGGTGGGCTGGCAGGGAGGGACCAGAGATGATAGCAGCGCCTGCCAGGGCCGGACCCCTCTGACGGGTCTCCCCTTGTTCCAGGGGTGCTGCGCTGGGGGATCCCCCTGCCCGACCTGCTGGGCATCACCTACAGGCGGGCAGCGCTCGGCGGGTTGTAGGTGCTGAGAGGCGACTGGTGGGTGCTCGTGCTCCGTCACCCCTGAGTTAGTGCCGTTCGTCCCTCGCACCCGAGCATGGAAGCGACTGCTGAATCCTGCCCGGGTGCTTTTTGTTTTGAAATCTGCAGAACGCTCTGGTGCTGGATGTGCCCGTCACAGAGAGCTGAGGCGCGGGGAGGGACGGCTGCGACCG